CGCACTGTTGTGGCGGTGAAAGAAAACCCAACATCTCATATCGTCCCGTCGTAAGAGACGACATAGGATAAAAACAGGAGATGGGATGATCTGCATCATCTTCTTGACAACAGATCAAAATAATAATAGCGGCGGTTGCCAACCCGCCACTATAGCAAATATCCAGCTACTTGACAATTTATGGAGGAAGCCTATGTTCATTTCAGTGAACTTTTGATAGGCTGACGATAATGAATTTTACTCATCTTTGCAAGCCTTAATATTTACGGTAGAGTGAAAACAAAAAGTAACATACCCGAAAACACAAATGAAATAAAAACTGCATATATTGCCCCATGAAAAGTAAAAAAGCAGCTTACATACATTTTACTACTGGGCACAGGCCTTAGAGTTTTTGGCCAAAAAAGAGTTCGCTGCACTGATTCCAACGCGGGATGAATGTAATGTATATTCAGTAGCATTGTATTATTTCATTTTATCAATGACTTGCAATTTTAATTTATTTAGAAGTAAGTAGGTGGCGTTAATATGACATGAAATAATGAAAGCCAAAACTATATCATCTAGTAATATCAGAAATAGAAACGAACATTTATTTATTATATCAATAAGGGATAAAGTGATATCAATTCTGTTAAAGGTTCTGTTTCTGTTAAAAAATAAGCTATCAGTGCCGCTAAGGGTGAAAAACAAAAATGATATAGTCATATGACCATATTATGACATAGCAACGTTATGTTTAGTTACTAATATCTTCAAACAATTGGATTCATTGATTTGGTCAAGCTATATCATGACATGGTCAATAAATAGTGTTAAATACACATTCATTTCAGTCATTTTTTCAGTCTTTCACGAAATGATAGATTACTTTATGATATATGGTCAATTCTACGATCTGGCCACGACATACAATATAAAATTTCTTTAATAAAACTATGATGATAATAAAAATTTTGCAACAATTGCAGATTGACCAGTTTTTATCATTTTACATATATATATTAGTAATTGAAGTAAATACCTTATCAATTTTCACATTTTTGATATACGTCACTATTATCTATTGAAATTATTACACTTTTAAAATAAAATAACAAAAATTCTAAAAAACTGAACGTTAGAATTTTTTATAATTTTATAAATCTAATAATTTAATCATATAAATATAATTTATTTATATTAATTCATTTATTAGTAACTGAAGGCAAAATATACAACTTTTTTCCATTTGATGATAGATGGCGCTGTTTTGAATACGAAATCGGTGTAGTTTCAAATTATTTTACCAAGATTATAACTTTATTTACAAATATGGTAATATGGTATTTATTTGAAAAACACCCGTCATCCCGCCTATAACTAAGATACAACAGAAAATTAACATCTAAAGGAAATTAATATACTTAACCTTCCTTTTTTGAAGTTCCGTAATTGGATAAAAAGTAGCCTATAAGTTGCCCCGGGTTACTGACTACATACATACAAAATTTCATGTAAATCAATTCGGTCGTTTTTGCGTGAATCCGGAATACACAGACAGACAGACAGAAAGACAGACAGACAGACAAAAATTCTAAAAACCACTAATTTGGATTCAGAACCCTTTATTTAGTCCCCTGGACTTGTTTTTTCAAGAATATATTAGAATTACAGACACGACTTTTCTACAGATTTATTATATGTATAGATATAGATATAGATTAACAAATTAATACAAATAAATGAATTACTAGCGTCTGATGAAGCGTCATTTGAAATAAAATATTTCTTTCATGGCAAGATAAGAAAAAGTGCGAGAGAGATGGACATTATTCCATCTCGCTTCCTTATTTCGCCGCCAAGGCCGTTTACACAAGGGGTAGTGACTAGTGACGAAAAAATCTTACACTTTTTGTCGCCTAGCTCCCATCCGCCAAACCCGTACCGTCCGATAAGGAACTTCGTATATAGGATTTAACGGTAACGGAGTTGATTTATATTTGGTGAAAAAGTGTGATAATATTCCTTACTAATCACAATTAATAAAAAGTTAAAGCCATAGTGTATAAAAAGTCCCGACTTCAGAAGATATTATCCGGCAATTATTTCATTCTTTTTAGTTCTTTGAAGCCGGCTTTTACTTTTTATTGAAAGTTTATTTTTTTCAAGATTTCTTTACTACCCTACACTATACCATAAATAAATACCACAATAGTATAATACCATAATAATACCACAAACAAAGCATAGTCAAATAGTCCATAATCAAAAACTACGTAGTCACTGATGGGCGTAAGCCGAATTACAAAAATAACGTACAAAATGCTAAACAGACGAATAAATATAACTTAGTTAACATATTATGTATACAATAGCATAGAAACAACTTGCCTAATTGGTAAAACCGTGGGCGCATGAAAATGTTGAATAATTATAGACTACCAAAGAAGGAAATCTACAAGGAAGGTTTCCATAGTACACATGGGACTTACTTCGCATGGTAGCTGTTTGTGAAATCCATTGACAAATTGATGGCTTTTCAAGTAAATAAGCCTGCGACATATACAAAAGTAATTTATACAGAGGTCATGTCCTTAATAATTTAGATAGGTGTATTTCTCAAAAGATATTAAATGTGTTGTAAAGATAATAGTTAATACTACTATTAGCGCCATTAACAAAATATACTTCTTTTATTTGTATAAAACTTTGGGTATAATTATACTTATATTTTATACATAAGCATAACTCGCTTAATTAAGCGAGTTATGCTTATGTATAAAATATAAGTCGTAATATGATAATGAGTTTATCTTTCTGTAATCCTCGAGGGATTACGTGGTAGAGCCATGCTGCAGCTATATTAGTAGTAAATTATTAATGACATGACCTCTGTATAAATTACTTTTGCATAATATGTCGCAGCATAGTTGTAGTGTCTGGGTCTGGTTCGACCGGGGAAGGACCACGCTTTCACAGAATACCAGCGTAAAATGGCAGCTTCACACTGCTGTTTTTCGTATGGTGAGTGTAGAGAACCGGAGACCTATTTTACTGGAAAAGAGGCATTACATCTTAGTCCTCACGGGTGACGGCGCATCTGCATTTTGATTCTTTATTGAGGATAAATGTAGATGTCTATGGGTCACAACAACCACTTACCATCAGATGGACTGTGTGCTCGTTTATCACCCTATCCTATAAAAAAATATCCTCGAGGGGTTAGGAAGAGTCCAAAAAGCAGTAAGGTATACATACGTACGCGACAAGTTTAGCTAGAATGTATGGGTTTAGTTAGGCGAGGTCATCGCCCTCTCAATCACAAATCCAATATCCCATTAGTCACTATTTTACAAAAAATACAGTTGACACATTCTTTTTTATTATGTGGGCCTTACTTGAACATCGGACCTATAAATCTGTCTGAGACATTGTCTCTTTGTGTTTCACTTTTTTTTATTTTGTTGTTCCTGTTGATAATGTTGCTGCCAATATTCTGTCTCATTCCCCTCTGTTGCCTCTAACGGAAACACTACTCGATAAAAAGCATCACACCTTCGGATTATACCAGCGAAAAATAGCAGCGTATTAATTCCTGATGTTAACAAGATACCGTAAGCAGTGGAGTAGCGTGCCTTAGAGGGGCCCTGTATCAAAATTTGTGGGGGGGCCCAAATGAAGGGTAAAGATTTTTGACAAAAGGAACAAAAACACTCGCATTGAATTAAAATAATTATATATTGATTATAAGTTAACACTTACAATTAATACTTCAAGGAACTAAGCTAGCCAAACAATTCAAACCAACATCGTGTCTCATAGAAGTCCTTAGAATTTTTGCTTACACACGTTCGGGGCATCTGTAGCCCGGAGGCCCGTATTATTGATAAGGCTGATACGCCCCTAGCTACGCCCCTGACCGTAAGCTAGTTCTGTGTAGATCGGAAAGTTTTATATCCAAAAGCTGAAGATATTCCGGGTCACCTATGACATCAGGACGTCAAACCTCTTAAGATTATCGCTTACAAGCTCTTTGTAAACAATTGTATATCCTATTATATATTGTATATTATGTTACTGTGGAAAAAAGTTCTCCTTCTGGCTGGTTATTCTTAGGGTAGAGGTATTTTTTTTTCGAACCAGTGTTAAAAGTAAAAAATGACTTTCAATAAGAATTATTTATAATCTTTATTGTATAGAAAATATATTCTATTTTATTATATTGTAGCATATATCATTAGGCGTTAGGCATTAGGGTATCGTTAGGCGGAGTGTGCGCTCGTTAGTCACAACAAAAAGTTTACATTTTTGAAAAAATCTGAGCGAAATCCACGCGAGCGAAACAGGAGGCGTAAATATTTACGAATGATTGCAGCAATATGAAAAAAAAAGCAATACAAAATTATAAACGCATTAATACATATAGTAATCTCAGCTAAAGATATCATTGTGTATACAGTTTAAAAAATTGGTATAATCATAAACATATTAGCAGCTTAAAATTAAACAAAAAATATTAACTGAAAAAAACACTTTTAACTTTTAAATTCCAGTTTTTTATTCAAGTAAAGGTTATTTATTTGGTTCGAATCTAATCCCGACTAGAATTAAGTCTTTTTTTGGTTGTGGTTGTTCAACATATTAAATAAACATATCTTCGAAACAGAAACAGAAACGTTTTTTATTCAATATAGACTAAAAATAATACTTATTGAAAGTCACTCTTTTTTTTTAAATTTACGACTGGTTCGGGAAAAAAAGCCTGTCCTGGGAAGAACCAGCAAGAAACCCAGCGTGATACGTACAATCATATATGTTACACAATTAACAACACAAAACAAATTAGATATAACACCTATTAAAATAAGACTTATAAATTACACAAATGCATGTGAAAAACAAACTTGTGTCCGTTCTGTCTTAGCATCTGCCGCCTTTTTTGCATGAAGTGGACTGCAGTGACCAATTACATTCAGGTTTTGCTATTTTTCAACTTCATGTATGCTCTTTTTCAACAGGTAATATTGAGAATGAGAACGTCCCGCTCGACTGTAACGGTTCTGTGCCGGATAGTAAACGACTTCCCCTGGTGAAATCCGCTCCGCATCTCAACAACAGCAACAACAATAACAACAGCGTTAACGATGCCTACGTTAATTTCAAAGATTCTGAGGAACCTGACAATAATCACGGAAATAAGATCGAAACGTAAGTATCATGCATAAATCGTTTTTATATTGACCATAGATAGCTACGGTATTGGAAGTATCCAACATATTATATAGACATAGATATAGATACATAATAGACTATTTTATGTATTAAGCACATAAAATTCTTAAACATGTTAACTTTTATGGCAGCAGGTGTAAAAAAAGGTCAATGTTAACTTTAGAATAAAACTAACTTTCTAATGACATTATTATTGTGTTTTTTTTTTTGTTAAATATAAGCTACATTTAGTGTTTGTTTGTGTCATAGAGGATAGAACTGCCGTCTGTGATATAGGCTCGTACAATCGGCAGTATCACACCGAAGCAAGCAACTTATAATTTGTAATAATTAACTTATTTTGATATTATGGTAAAGAAATGTAATTTATGATAATAAAGTTTTTATTTATTTATAACAAATATATCTCTAAGCGCGAGTATACCGAACTTTAATTTGGAACCCATTTAAGATTGAATATAGTACAACAAACGTAAACTTAAAAGCTAATTTGATAGCCAGTAAGTTGGTAATGTTAATATTGGCAATGCGTTATACAATGTAGTACTACTATTTATTCTGTGGTTGCACTAGGGGAGGGCGCGGTTTGGGGGGGTTGAGATGGGGCCATACCGTGTAAATAACTTGTAAAAATAAAATGTCATTGTATTTTTTTATTTCAGACAGAATCATCATGGATCAACACACAAAAAACAAACAAAGGTATGTTTGCATATTTTTTTTATAGAATAAGTGTGACAAAAGAGCACACATACCACCTGATGGTAAGTGGATGCGGTCGCCCACAGACATCTACATCTATCCTCGATTAGTAATCAAAATGCAGATATGTTGTCACTCCTGAGGACTAAGATAGAATGCCTCATTACCAGTTAAAAGGGTCTCCAGTTGTCTACACCCACAATACTATCAATCTAAATACGGCAGCATTAAACTTCTATTTTACGCTGGTATTCCGTGAGAGCGTGGTCGTTCCTAGGTCGAGACGACACATTCGTGCTACCTTAATTATAAATAGCTGCAACGTGACTGTACTACGTATAAACAATTATTTAATTTCTACACTGTCTGCTGTAAAGTCCTACAAAATCTTTACAATGTCGCTCGTAGCTCAATAACTATTGCACATCCCTCAATACAGAATTAACATGACACTCCTCTCTTCTGACAATTCGCTCTGTGGTGTGTTGACTGAAGTAGATATTTTCCATGATACTTTCCCTAAGAATTGGAAAATAATTATAGATCATTTTGTTCTTATATATGACTGCCTCGTTCTTCTAGTGGTCGTAAAAGCGACTGCTGATCATGAGATTCCGGGTTCAAATCCTAAACCTGGACAAAATTACTTATTGGGTATTTCTGCCAAAAAATTATCAATACCAGACCGGAGTCAGGAAGTTGGCGGTCTTTCACTCTCGTGCTTTAAAAATCACGTGAAACCGCTGACCCTGTGCCTGATCTCACTCCGATCGTATCGGATTTCCGTTCCATCGGAATATAAGAGTAAGAAAATGAGGAGTGCACCTGTACTTGTGCACAGATTCATCCACTATAATATGCCCTGCGCATTTGACAATTCCCTGTTAAAACAGGCCGCCATGTTCGAAATACGGTCTGGAGTCCCTGGACGACATTAGGTTTAGGTTTAATATATTGTTTATTTCTTCAAAGATTCAAACATTGTGATTGTGATTGAAGAAATGAGGGCATTTACGAATTTTTTTGCCACCAGGGCGGCGCCACACTACAATGAGGTTAAATATTTGACAGATTTTATAGATGGGAAAATAATTTCTTAGAAAAATGTACAGGTTAAAGGTTAATGTTTAGGTTTCTTTCTGTATTATTAGTTATATTTTATATTAATTAGATTAAAAATAAATAAACCAAACTTTAAATATAAATAACAGTGAAAAAAAAAGAGTTGTAAAGTACAAAAAATTAAAGATCATATCACTGACGCATTGTATTATGTATACAAATAAATAAAATTGAAATGTCTGTTTGTAATGTCAAAATTACAGCTTTTTACTAAATGCATATGAAACTAAATGCGGTACTTATAACCAAATACAATTTTTAAAATGTTTGTCTGTCTGTCTGCTTGTTCCGGCTAATCTCCGAAACGGCTGGACCGATTTTGACGGAACTTTCACTGACAGATAGCTGATGTCATAAGGAGTAACGTAGGCTACTTTTATTTTAGAAAAAATAAATAGGGTTCCGCGCAAAAAAATAAAAACTCTAACACGCGAGCGAAGTTGCGGGAAACAGCTAGTATAATATAATACTCTAGAAACTGATAAACTATTATTTAAGCTCAATAAACTGACATTATTTAACAAAACACTTGAAACAAAACACTACCTCAGTTACAACTTGGCAGGTGACATCTGGTGAGTGGAAGATTATTAGACCTCATAAAACAATTTACAAACAATAATAAATGTATATTCATAAAACTGTGTCCCTTAATAAGCAGTTTCTTAGTTTGTTCGCGTTTTTTCTTTGTTATCTATTATTTTGTGATTTTATTATTAGTTGTACAGTATGAGCTCTTTCCGGTCGATGGTACAAATGGGCGTGCCTCAAGGCTCAATTCTCGGCCCTTTTCTGTTTCTTGTATACATTAATGACTTACCTTACATAGTAGGGGATAACCATGATATAGTATTATTTGCTGATGACACTTCTTTAATTTTCAAATTAAAACGACAGTTACTAAAATATGACGAAGTAAATAATGCTATAAGTAAATAAGTAAATAATAATACTAATAAATTAGTAAATCGGTTCCATGTTAATAATTTGCATTTAAATGGCACTAAAACGAAATGTATGAGGTTCATGACTCCAAATGTCAAACAATTAAATACTAATGTAATTTTAATTGGGGGAGAACGGAGTCTTGTCGATACCACCATTTTTCTTGAAATCACACTAGACGCGAAGCTTCAATGCCCCCCAGGGAGCCCCCATATATCAAAACTAGCAAGCAGACTTAGTTTTGCAGCATATGCTGTAGAAAACATACACAACAAACAACAAAATCTTACCAGTGTTGAAAAAGCTAGACTTATTTTAGCTATTTCCACAGCATAATGTCGTATTGTATTTTGCTGAGGACACGCGGATGGCACTGAAATTATATTTGTTTTACAGAAGAGGGCCATAAGAGCAATTTATTATTTAATACCTAAAGAGTCGCTCCGACAAAAATTTAAGGAAATTAATATATTAACTTTAGCCTCTCAATACATTTATGAAAATGTAATGTACGTACACAAAAATAAAAGTAGTTTTACAAAAATAAGTGATATTCATTCTGTAAATACTAGGAACAGACACAAGCTAGTAGTACCAGTTACTCGACTCCACCGAGCCAGTAATTCATTCTTGGGGCGATGTATACGCTTTTACAACAAAATTCCAGAAAATATACAAAATTTGACCTGCTCAAAGTTCAAAAACTATATTAAAGTAACTTTGTATAAAAGGGTTATTATAATACTAAGAAATTTATGGAATTTGTTTTTTGTGGTTAATTGTGTAACTTACATGAAGTTGTCATTTAAAAAACAAGTCCCGCTAGGTTTCTTGCTGGTTCTTCCCAGGACGGAGGTTATTTTTTTTCGAACCAGTGGTAATTAATCTAAAGAATGACATTGTAAGTATTATTTATAATCTATATTAAATAAAAAAGTTTCCGTTTCTGTTTTTGTTTCTGTTGCTGTAACTTACTTTGCTTTTTCTTAATTAACTAGTAAATTGCAGATTACACCTATTTACAATAAGAATGTAATAACGCTGCTGGTGTCCTATGAATAAATGAATAAATGTATGAATAGATATGATGATTCATTAGGACAGTTGAAGTGGACTGAGTCAATATTATCTATACAAATAAGTAAAACTAAAGTGTCTGTTTGTAATGTCAAAATAACAGATTATTTACTAAATATTGAAGAATGTATGGAATAATATTAAGAAAGTTTTGGTGGATGCAGCCACCGAAGTATGCGGTGTAAGTAAGAGAACGAATGAAAGGAAAAGTAATACGTTGTGGTGGGATGATGAGGTACGGATGGAAGTTGAAGCAAAGAAGAGAGCATGGCTAGATTTACTAGCAACTAAAGCTGGTAATTCCGGCGGTATGAATGATGAGATTGAAAGAAAAAAGGCAGACTTTAGACGTATAAATAAGAGAGTAAAAGAAGTTGTTGAAAGGAAAAAGCAAGAAAGGATAGATAAAAATGATAGAAGGATATCTGATAACTTCCAGGAAAATATTAAAATGTTCTGGAAGCTCGTAAGAACTTCCAGGGGAAATTCAAAACAGCCTAGAATGAATGATATACGAGACAAGAATGGCTGCATGCTAAATAATGAAGTTTCGAATTTAAAGAGATGGAAGGAATACTTTGAAAGCGTGTTTAAGAGTGAAGAGTCGTCTGAAATAAGTGAAATAGAAATTCCGGAAGAAGTGGAGAGAGGTAGGGAGATAAGTGTAGATGAAATAATGAAAGCAATGAAAAGCATGAAAGCAGGTAAGGCAGCCGGATATGATAGAGTATCACTCGAAATGCTAAGGGCTGGTGAGGGTGTGGTTGCAGGCCTGCTGCACACCTTGTTTAATTTATGTTGGGAACTGAAACGGGTATCGGAAGACTGGTGCAAAGCCGTTATAGTCCCAATATATAAGGGAAAGGGGTCGCAGCAGGACTGTAAAAACTACCGTGGTATCAGCTTGCTTAGCATTGTGGGTAAACTGTATGCTAAGGTGTTAATTGAAAGAGTTATGGAAGAAACTGATGGAAAAATTTGGGATGTGCAAGCTGGATTTAGAAAGGGGATGGGGTGTACGGATCAAGTTTTTTCCATGCGCATGATAGCGGAGAAGTTTTTGGCTAAAAACCAGAAAGTTTTTTGTGCGTTCATGGACTTGGAAAAGGCTTATGACAGAGTGGACAGGAACGTGTTATGGCAAACACTGAACTCATTTGGGTTGAGCGCTGGCTTGATACAGGCATTAAGGTCTCTTTATAGGGACTCTAGTGCTTGTGTCAGGATCAACGGGGTCTACTCGGACTGGTTTGGCATTCATAAAGGTGTCAGACAGGGATGTGTGGCTTCCCCGTGGCTGTTTAACCTATTTATGGACAGTTGTTTGCAAACTTTGAAAGTTGAAGAATGTGGGTTGAGAATGGGTGAGTCAACCGTCAAATGCCTTTTGCACGCCGATGATCAAGTCATATTTGCATCGTCGGCGGCCGAGTTGCAAATGATGGTTATTTTAATGAATTGGTCATTGAAAGAAAGGGGTATGAAAGTGAACGCAAGTAAGACGAAAGTGATGGTTTTTGAAAGAGAAGAAAGTAAAACTTTATGTGAAATAAGAATAGAAGGGGAGTTGATTGAGCAAGTGGATGAGTTTGTATATTTGGGATGTTTATTTAACAGGGATGGTAGATATGATAAGGATATAGAACGACGAGTGAACGCAGGAAATAGAGTGAATGGGGCTCTACACGCTATTGTGAGGAGTCAGAATGTGTCAACTAAGGCACGTATGGCAATTCATAATGCTGTGTTAGTACCTACTTTAATGTATGGTAGTGAAAGTTGGGTCTGGCAGAAGAAGCATGAGAGTAGAATAAATGCTGTAGAAATGCGTTCCTTAAGGAGTATGCTAGGGCTGAATCTGAATGACAGGGTGAGAAATAGTGTAATAAGAGAAAAGTGTGGTCTGCAAGATGACGTTGTGACAAGGATTAAGAAAGGAATGCTTCGGTGGTTTGGTCACGTAGAAAGAATGAACGAGGAAAGAGTGACAAAGCAAATTTATGTTGCAGAAGTGAATGGCAGGGTCGGGAAGGGACGCCCTAGACGAAGGTTTATCGACCAGATCGGTGATACATTAAAAATGGGCCAGATTAGGAGTACCCTGAACCGACGAGCGTGTATGCGTAGATATATGGATGTAAAAGAGGCGAGAGAGGTGTGTCAGGATCGCGCCAAATGGAAGTCCGTAGTCTCTGCCTACCCCTCTGGGTGACAGGCGTGAGTGTTTATGTATGTATATTTATGTATGTAAATACATATGAAAGGAAATGTGCCATATATAATGGCACATTTCCGAAATGGCTGCACCGATTTTGACGGGACACTCACTGGCAGATAGCTAATGTTATTAGGAGTAACTTAGAAAACTATTATTTTAGAAAAATAATTTGAGTTCCGTGTAAAAAAGAAAAACCACATAAAATCTAACCGTAATAAATTCGACGCGAACGAAGTCGCAGGGATCTTCTAGTATATAAATAAATCGTTGCCACTTAACCAACGAAACGAATACCTGTGATAAAATATAAAATTCAGCGTTGAGTCGGTAATGTTGCAATTTTTAATCATTTTAAGTAACCACGTTTTTATTAACTTGCTTTCGTGTATGCCTGTCGAAATGTTCGATTCCACTTTAGTAATTAATTTTAAACTAACTTCCCGATTATCTAGAGACTTAACATTTTGGTGTTATTATAATATTAAGGAATTTATGGATGATAATAACCCCTGGGAATGAGGTGATCGGTAACAAGCTAATTCTAATTTGTTTTGTGTTGTTAATATTATAGTAAGGTGATATTGATTTTATCAAAAAAAAAGTTCCGCTGGGTTTCTTGCTTGTTCTTCCCAGGACAGAGGTGGTTTTTCCGAACCAGTGGTAAATTAAAAATTTTGTACAACCGACTTCAATATAAATTATTAAGAATAACTCAAACACTATTGGTCAGACCTTGATCAAATTTATATGGGACCACATGAGAAGCACCAGCTTTCAAATAAAAAGAGAATCATCGATATCGGTTCACCGAGAAAGAAGTTATGAGGTAAAACACATTAAAAAAAACATAGTCTAATTGAGTACCGGCTCCTTTTTGAAGTCGGTAGGAAATAGTGACTTTTAATACAGTATTATTTAATTTTATAATCTATAGTGAACATAAAAGTTACTGTTTCTGTTTTTGTTTGAACATAGCTCAGAGATCGGAATAGTCAGTTTCAAATCTAAAAATCTGTTCGTTAAGTGTCATCACAATTGGTTCAGCCATTCCAAAGATTAGCCGGGACAGACAGACAGACTAAAGCTTTAAACATGATTGCCTTATGTCTTAATAACAAGCAAATAATCCCATGTGCTTAACAGTCACTGCATTTTTATTTAAATATATATATATTATAGACCATGTATTGAAGAATCGCGGTATGAGACAATTTTATGTGTACACAATACACATTACGTTACGTGTTTTCTGTTTCGGTATGATCAAGTACATTCCGAGCCGTGATAGCTCAGGTGCTAAACGTTCGCTGTAAATTTCACACTACACGATCAACCCGGGTTCGATCCCCGCCGGCACCAATGAAATTGTTAATTGCAATTTTAAGTGCTGATTTACCACGTGCTCAGCAGCGAAGGAAAACATCGTGAGGAAACGTGCACGTCTGAGAAATAAGAAAAAAAATATGTCGTAGACATGTTAAGTTCGCCAACACGCGTTGGAGCGGCGCGGCACTGCCTGTGCCCAGCCATGGGACGTAAATATAGGCTGTAACTTTAAATTTAACTTTTAACCATGTACTTTCCACGGTGTGATGGTTGTCGTAAGATGCGACAGTGGGAAAAATATGAGGCTATTTATGGACGAAGCCCATATTGAGCATTGGACTATTGTATACGCTGTTGTAATGTAAGAATATAGTGTCATTGAGGGAGAGACGTGTTATTTCTTCTAGAACTTTAATTAGACTGCTAATTAATGGCTACTATTAGCATTAATATATAAGCCGTGTGGTCCACTCTGCACTATACTGCAATGATACTATATGTACCTACTAAATTCATAATACCGTTTTGTATCTGGACATAATTTGAGCTGTCATCACATGTGCCTTAGCGTGACGGCTAATATCCCGGAAATCATTATAAAATTCATGATCAAATAATAATATTAAAAAATATTTTAGTGTGTATACAGGCATACTTAAACTGAAGTTCAAATATTTATACGTGGTAGAGCCATGCTGCAGCTATATTAGTAGTATAGTTGTAGCACGAATGGGTCGGCTCGACCGGGGAAGGACCACGCTCTCACTGAATACCAGCGTAAAATAGCAGTTTAATGCTGCTGTGTTTCGTATGGTGAGTGTAGAGAACCGGAGACCCTTTTTACTTGAAAAGAGGCTTTCTATCTTAGTCTTCACGGCTGACAGCGCATCTGCATTTTGATTCATTATTGAGTATAGATGTGGATGTCTATGGGCTGCAGCAAACCACTTACCATCAGGTGGACTGTGTGCTCGTTTGTCACCCTATCCTATAAAAAAAGACAGTCGCTTGCCAAGCGTGGCAACTATGGCAAATATCCTCCTTATGAGGCAATCTATGGGGGAGGCCTATGTTCAGCAGTGGACTTTAATAAGCTGCAATGGTAATGGTAAACATAGATCAATATATAGAGGACATTGATGTGTGAAAATAACTCTTTCTTTGGCCTTGCAACGAGCAAGAAAGAACAATATTTTATAAAAATATTTATGGACTTTTGACATTGTATTATTTTATTATAAGTTATAATTTTAAATGAAAGTGTAACACAGCTTTAAAAACCTCAGAGTTTCTTGCCAGTCCTTCTCTGAGAAGGTCTGTTTTTTTCCAAGTCGGTGTAAATCTTGACGATCATAAAAACTTTAAACAAAAGGAATAAAAGTTTGACTTTGACATCGACTTTAAAATCGTTAAGGAAAAATTGGTGGAATAGAAAAATATTATAAAAGTTTAGTGTTTCATATACCTTGTTTTCATTGCGTATTAATATTAACTATGCTGATCTTTACTGTGTCGTGTTTTTAAAAACGAAATGTTATGGTATTTCCATCTTCAAATCTTGGTTTTCCGAAATCCTAGGATGGCAACCCTGTGCTATGAATATGTGCTGATAGAGTTTTGGCGGGAAATTGACCGGCGGCGGTTTGCTGCTCCTGTATTATTGTTTAAATAATGGTTTGAAGTGGACTTTGATATGTAAAAGTGTTGCGATTTTGTGTATTAAGTGTCTACGCATGTGAACTATTAGTGGAAACAGTGAAACAAGTGCTCTGATGGTGATGGATTCTCAAGATAAGCTGTTTGTTTGCATAGGCACCTTTAGATACCATCGCCAACCGTTAGCTGTCTGCTGGATCAAGTTGCCGCCAAAATCTCCCAAGAACTGCACAATGTGACGCATCAACATATTGTGAAGCAGTATACTATGAAGGAGTGGGGAAATTACAATAAACCGAATAAAAATACTTAAGACTTGGCCTAAAGGTCTAGATACCAGGCCATTAACTCCAAAAAAAATATATGTGCTGTATATAATCTGTGATTGTACAAAAGCTTCTTTTCTTTCCAGATGGCCATAGCCAGTCACTATGTGAAAATGATGTTGCTGATTGCCTGTTGGATCTTCTTTACGGTTGTTTTTATGTTATACAATGAAAAAGAAGTAATAAGAAGGAACTCTTTTGTAGCGCCCGGAGAAATCAAAAGTAAGTAACTTTACACGTAAATTGTTATTAAAAACAAAAGGACAAGATTGCGGAATCTATTGTTTAAAAATGATATGAGATATTAACGACCCGCCACCTACCGCGTCTCATTGTAAATCAAAACCATCTAAGAGAAGTTCAGTGACAAACACACCTACAGAAGAGCTATATGAATATAGATAATAATAATAATAAATTATTTATTTCTCAACACAAACGACATGGAAGACTAATGTAACACATTAGTGTTACATCTTTATTTAACAATATTACGTCGTTCATGGGAGACTGGTGCCCGTGTAGGTTTAAAGAACCGTATTACAGGTCACCAGCCCCCCCGAATTTACTAGGCACTTAATATAATATACAGAGATCACATTTGTATTGCTTAGAAGTTATATCACAAACAAGCTGACCTTCTTACCGTGAGGAAAAATAGTCTGTAAATAGGTGAACAAAGTAGAAGGCTGCATGGCATAGATAGTTTGCAGTTTTTATAAAAATAAATATATTAATTCTATAGTAAAAAACGATTAAAACTAATAATGTATCAATGAATTTGTAACGCTTTAACCATTAACGCTTTGATTAAAAGTTTACTTCAACTTAGTAGCCTTTATTGATAAATCAATTTCATATTACGTCAATGAAGAAAAATTTTTAAAAAATATCTAAGGTATAGGCTTATACTTTGTTCAATTATTAGTTCTTCATCGGACGGTACGAATTTGGCGGATGGGAGCTAGGCGAGAAAAATTGTAAGATTTTTCCATCACGACACCTTCTGACGTAGTGTAGACGGCCTTGGTGGCTATAAGGAAGCGAGATGGAATAACAATCATCTCGCTCGCACTTTTCTTATCTTGCCATGAAAGAAATATTATTTTATTTTAAATTACCTACGCTTTATTTTAATAGACGCTAGTAATTCATTTATTTGTATTTGTTAATCAATAATATAATACGTTTATCAATAATAATATACTACAAAAGGTACCTACTTCGTTCCAACCGAGTGTTCCACGACACTCACGGATGTTTTTTATTATTCTGAGGGTTGTCGCTTCATGAATGCCACTTGACAAGGTTTCGCCCCCCGAGGGTTGTCAGTTTTGTAATACGGCTCACTCCCGTTTCATCTTGCTAATTCATTGGTCTACATTAGTTATTCTGGTTCTATAGCGGGTACTTAATTATTCAATTATATACCATTAATCATTTACGGCAGCGGTATTATAAAATTATGCGCTGTAAAGTACTTACACGTGTTCTATCAATATGTCTCAATGCGTTTTACTCAGTTAACTAACGTCGGCTCTTGATTATATTCGAGTTGATTTATCGATTAATAGATAAAAGTTATTTATAGGATAAAATACAACCTAAACAAATTATAAATGACAGTTGTGTGAAAAAGAAATTTAATTGTTTCTCTCTTCGCATTTAGTTGATGGATAACTTTTACTGGTTATTGAAAAATCAGCCCTTATACTTAATAATAAAATGTGTAATTTGCTAAGAGTCATTAATGGAAGCTTGTTTGGTTATAAAAGTATTTCTCCTATTAAATTAATTACTTTCTATAATATATAAAATACGGGTAACAAACTAGCACACAGAACACCGGTTGGTGCCTAAGTGAATTCTGCGTCCCATAGACACTTACATCTATTTTCGATTAGGAATCAAAATGTAGTCGCGTTATCATCCCTGAGGAATACGAGAGAGTGCCTCGTTTCCAGTAAAAAGGGTCTCCGGTTTCTGCACTCATCATATGAAACACAGCAGCATTAAGCTGCTATTTTACGGTGGTATTCTGTGAGTTCGTAAAGGTCGAGCCGACCCATTCGTGCTGCAACCATAATATAGCTACTGCGTTGATACAACGTTTTTTTTTTAAATTTAAACTTAATTAAATTAATATAATCAGGCATTATTTTGGCGGAAATCCATTATATTAAAGTTCGTAAAAATTACCTCGCGTACATGCGCTCGATAAAATAAAATGATGTGTCTTACCTAGTTTGAAGAGCACCTCCCGCCCTCTCTCAATTGCGTGCACTATCCCCGTTAAATTTTGTATTATAAATAGTAATACTATATTGATTACGCGTTAAATATCAGTTTGCACATTATTGCTTAGTACTTACTATACGAGGGCGGCACTGAAAATTTCGGGAATCAAGGAAGTGACACAACATTACTATTTAAAAATGTATTTATTGCTTTTCGAAGTATTCTCCGCGAAATTTGACACATTTTTCCATACGATGGAACCAATCATTGAAGCAACCATTCCATTCGGAAGTTGGGGTCTCCAAAATGGCCGTTTCGTAGGCGTCCACAGCTTCTTTAGGTGATGAAAATCTCTGTCCACGCAATTTATTCTTTATTTTAGGGAAAGTATAGAAATCATTAGGAATTAGGTCGGGGCTGTACGGCGGATGGTCTAATAATTCTATGTTTTCTTGCTCTAAAAACTCTTTTGTTCTGTGTGCGGTGTGAGAACTCGCATTGTCGTGATGGAGGATGATACGGCGGTTGCAGTTCTCTTTACGGAGTTCAGAAACGACCTGTGGCAAACAAATGCTAGCATACCATTCTGCATTAACCGTTCTTTGTCCCTCAAGAGGAATAGTCGTAACATGGCCGGTTTTGGAGACAAACGTGGCCACCATTTTTTTTTGCAACACTCCGTGAACGAACAATTTTTGTTGGCTTTAACTTATTTTCGAACACCCAAACTCGTGACTGGTTTTTTGTTTCGGGTTCGTACGCGTATATCCAGGATTCGTCACCTGATGCGATGTTGTATACAGCATTTGAGGATGCTGCGTGGAATCTTTCGAGAGTTCTGACGCACCAAGTATCGCGAGTCGCTTTTTGCTCTTCACAGAGTGAATGCTGTATCCATCGGGAAATTTTTTTGAGTGACTTTTAATAAGTATTATTTATAATCTATATTGAATAAAAAAGTTTCTGTTTCTGTTTCTGAAAACACCTTTTTTACATCTAATTGTTCATGCAAGATTATTTGTATTTGACTCATGCCAATGTCTAAAGTTGCCTGAATTTCGCGGAATGTCACATGTCGATCTTCCTCAATCAGCTTACGCACAGCATCAACGTTTTCTTGGGTGACTGCAGTTTTTGGACGACCTTTACGGGGATCATCACTGAGCTTGACACGTCCACGTTGAAATTCAACAAACCAGCCATAAATTGTATTTTTAGATGGGGCTTCATCACCAAATGCAGAAATCATCCGGTCAACACACTGTTTTTGTGTTAAACCACTTCGAAAGTCATAATATATCATCGCTCTTGAATTTTCTCGAGTCAATTCCATTTTCTCAACGAGTAAACAAGTTTGACAAAACCTTGTGACAAAACCGATAATCTTTTTTTAAATAAATAAATGGTATTCGATTTTTAACAGGAACAGTGGAAATATTCCATTCCCGATACTTTTAGCGCAGCCTATGTACATATAATAGAACTGGTTTGATTTAATTGCTGTTATTACTCTGTAAATTATGCATAAATCGGTAATCGATTCTCGATATTTACTATTAATACATAAACTTGTCAATCATTGGGACGTTATGTGATTATATACATTTACGCTACTACACATTGAATTGAACAACATTGAACGGCTCCGTGGCGCAGTGGCTTAGCAATGAATTGCAGCGCTAAGGGACAAGTATTTGTATAGTCTACAAATAATAGTTCCGGGCCTGTGTGTTTGTACTTGTGAAATATATATATATGTAAACTACCCTCACGATACAGAAGAAAATTCTAGTGTGGAGGTAACGTTTTTAAAAAAAAGAAAAACAAGGAATAGAACCGTGTGTGGTTTCTGCTGTAGGCCTAAAAAAATTCACTTTGTTTTTTTTTATTATTATGAATAAATGAAAAAAAAGTTGTACTCATAGAACCCCTTTTCAGTCTAGAAGTCCATCAGGGTAGGTTCCACCATCGTACCTATTTGTAAAGCCTAGCCATCGATCACTAATACAAAACTAGATACACAATCATGACAAAAAATGTCATTACCGAATGAGCGCCCACCCGAACGTTGTACGTAGTTTTGTGAATGCAACTTTAGGCAATGTTTTTAAGGTTGAATTTACATAAATGTATATTTATTTCAACTAGAATTACGTCAAAACAATTGGCGAAAGTTTTTGGAGAACTTTTGCATGGGATTGTGTATCTAGTTTTTTTTTTAAATTAGTGATTGATGAGCCTAACATCAGTGCACGCACTGCTATGTTTTTGTCTAAATGATATAGACTAAAGAGCCAGTATAATTACGAGCCGTGAGTTGTTCTATCTTAGCCTTCTTTGTTTGAATTTAGTTACTGGTGTTTAATGTCTGCAGTTTCCATTAAACCATCACCTGGTGAGCTGTAAGTTCATTTATCACTTAAATTTTATGAAGTAAAGCAAGATAGGATAAGCGACATTTGCCTAATGGCGCGGTGCGGACTCGAACTCAAAGGTCATGGGTTCGAATCCGCCATTCGACTACTGTCGTGAAACACTTCTAACACAAGCATTTTAAGCTTACCAGAAGTGGTTAAAGGGAATATTAGTAATGTCAACAGCATTGTTGGTATTTTTTTATTAGAAAAAAAGGATATATTCCTTTGTTCAGAAATGGATTTAAGATGTTTTTATAGTGTAAGGGTTACAAACGAGCACACAGTCCACCTAATTGTAAGATATTAAATAGAAGATACTTTATATTTATAGATTTATCTCAATCTTTTGCCCTCACGGCCATCAGACTCTGGAACGACATCCCTCTTGACATTAAAGAAGCTTCCAACAAGTTTGTTTTTAAAAATCAAGTCCGTAAGCATGTGAAAAAATTGTTGCAAGTTTGAACTAACACAGCTTTTGTTTTCATACACATATTATGTATATTTCATATTTGTTGTGACATAGATAATATTTATATGTTTTGTGTATGCATGTATATGTGTATGTATGTATTTATATATGTATATATTGTGTGTATTTAAGTATATATGTCTATGTATGAGTGTGTATATGTATATTTATATGTATATATGTATATACAACATTTCTAGCGCTTTCTATTTTGATTACTGCTGCACCGCCTCTTGTTTGTATATCTCTGTTTAGCCTAATGGTTAAATGGGAGAGAATGCCCTATGGCATTAAGTCCGCCATATGTACAACTTTGTACATGAAAGATTAAATAAATAAATAAAATAAATAAGATACAATTAAGAATCAAAATGCAGATGCGTTGTACCCCTAAGAATTAAGGTGGAATGCTTCGTTTCCAGTAAAAAGGATCTCCAGTTCTCTACACTCACCAAACGAAACACAGCAGCATTAAGCTGCTATTTTACGCTGGTATTCTGTGAGAGACTGGTCCTTCCCCGGTCGAGCAAACCGATTCGTGGTACAACCATTGGTAATATAACTTGAGCATGGCTCTACGTATAAAAGAAGATGATGTACTGATGATGATGATGACGATGATGATGAGTTTCTTTGATTAAATTTGAAAACTGTATAACGTTAAATATTTCAATTTGTTTCAGATTATATTCTAAACGTATCGAGTGATAAGATTGTGGCACTAGTGAAACTATCAGGTCCGTTCCTACCGGAGCCTACGGAGAAACACTTGAACGCGAGTGAACTGATCAAAGCTGATAAAATGACGTTATGGTTGGAAAGGTGGACGTTGAACGCTAATTTTGACGGAGTTGATGTAAACGAATCAATAATAGCACAAAGAGAAGTAATTTTTTCTATTCATGTTTTGTAATACAATTATAAAAGTATCAAATGTAATGGTGGTGGCACATTGTCTTCAATCACAATGACATGACGTTTTTACTCCTTTTCCTTTGTTGTTATCAGTATAGCAATACTAGAAAGAACGCAAGCTTAGTAGAGAGAAAATAACGCGATGATCGCGTGGGAAATCGTAAATATTGCATTTTACCAAAAAGCACGGTCCTAAACCACCCGCATCCATTTACTTCCTGCATATCTTACCAGGTCATCACTCCATCTAGTGGCATTTTTTCTTCTATAGGACAAGGTGACAAACGTGCACATAGTCCACCTGATGGTAAGTGAAGCCTGTGGCCCATAGATATCTTAAATTATCCCCAATTAATAGTCAAAATGCAGATGCATTGTCACCCATGAGGACTAAGATGGAATTCCTCGTTTTCAGTAAAATGGTTCTCCGATGCTCTACACTCACCATACGAAACACAGCGCAGCATTAAGCTATTTCACGCTAGTATTCTGGGAGAGCGTAGTTTTACGTGGTTTTACCTAGGTTGAGCCGACCCATTCTTGCTACACAACCATAATGTAGCATGGCTCTGCACGTATAAAATTTTTCGTACTCTCGTTCACTCTGGTAATATCAAATGACGGCCTCATCTTGTGGTACCTCTAGTCGTACTTCCTTGACTTTAACTATTTAAAGTTACAGCCTATATACGTCCCACCGCTGGACACAGGCCTCCTCTCATTTCGGAGAGGGTTTAGGACAAGATAATTTCCGACACACTGCCCTAATGCATCTTGGCAAACTTGATATATCTTCGAAATATATTTTTTCTTATTTTTAGATATGCAGGATTCCTCACGATGTTTTCCTTCACCGCCGAGCACGTGGTATATCAGCACTTAAAATTGCAACTAACAATTTCATTGGTGAGGGCGGGGGTCGAACCCGGGTTGCTCGCCGTGCAGCTCAGGGGGTAAACGCTCGCTGTAAATTTCACAGTACTTTAGCTATTATAAAAGAAATATTGAAAACTTTTATTTGCTTCCAGGTTTCCGATCATTGGTCGATATTACTTCAAGGGAACGAGTTTCTTGACTTCAACCAAGGAGAGCCACGTTCCACCACTCTAGCTCTCCCTACGAACTCGTCTAGCTCGAACAATTCAACAGTTTATGCCATCCGTATGAACACAACCTCGAGTAAAACCGTTCCATTGACTTTGGCTTTCACGGTGGACCCTGTAGAAGTCGCAAACGGAGTCGCGTACGCCTGTCTACTACTTTGCGGCTTGTATGTGCTGATCATATTTGAGGTGAGTGGAAATTAAAACTTTTGAGGTAATAGAAACTATGAGAAAGCTATTCTAGGGGGGTTAGCAAGTATCCGCTCAAAACATAACTGCTCGGGGAAAACTGAGCAACAAGACCAATGTGGGGCTACCTACACGGAGTACAAATTGGAACACTCCTTTGTGCCTCGGGCTGGAGTTTGCGTATACGTCAGAAAGGACATCTGTTCTTGACGCCTCGATAGTCTTGAAGGTCCTTTGGCTACGCATAGACAGCGACGACCATCCGCGCGTCTACGGATGCCTCTATAGGTCCCATAGCGGTAATGCCGAAACAGATCGACTCATCGACCACGTCCAAATGGCTACAGATTCCTTGCTACAACAAGTCCCATCTGCAGAGATCGTGATCCTTGGCAATTTTAACGCCTACCACGCTGAATGGCTCGGTTCACGTTTAACCGATCATGCGGGGAAATCTGTTCATGATTTTGCCTTGGCATATGATCTGACACAACTGGTTACTACGACTACGTGGATTTCAGATGTGAAGGATCATGCACCTTCTTGCTGTTGGACCTTCTGCTGACTTCTCTCATCCGGATAGATATCAGGTCTCCGTCGACTCCCCTCTTGGCTTCTTGGACCATTGTCTAATCCGGAGTGTGGTGCCACTTACGCTGAAATTGCGGTTGCTTTCTGCACGCTGTCACCGTGTTTGACCGCACTATAGGTCAGCCGATTGGGATGGGATGCGGTCTTTCTTTGCATCCTCATCTTTTACCAGTGGTAGAGCCACGCGGAAGCTTTTGCTGTCGCACGGATGGGCCGGCTCGAACCGGGGTGGTACCATGACCTCACAGAATACCAGCGTGTAGTAGAGGTTTACCTCTGCGTTTCGCTTGGTGAGTGCAGGTGGCCGGAGGCCCTTTTTACTGGAAATCAGGCATTCCATCTTAGTCCTCACGGGTGATAACGCATCTACATTTTGATTTGTAATAGAGGATAGATTTAGATGTCTATGGGCCGCAGGAACCACTTACCATCAGGTGGACTGTGTGCTCGTTTGTCACCCTTATCCTATAAAAAAAATCCTACCCTTTGTGGCGGGTTTGCTTCTTGCCGGATGATCCCAACGTTGTTTCTAATTCTGTTGCTGATGTGGTAGTTCAGGGTATGGAAATTTTATCCCTTCCTCTGTGGTGCCCATCGGAGGCAGATCTCAGTTATGGTTTAGTTGTTCCTGTAAAATAGCATCACGCTACAAGCAGGAGTGCTACCGGGTCTGAGCTGACGCATCAACGTCCCGAGATGTAAACACCAGCGCCCTTAAAAAGAAGTATAATTCCGCCTCCATGTCCTTCAAAAGAGTCATTGCCAAGGCAAAGTCAGAACACATAGGCAGAATTGGCGAGAAACTAGTTCGCCTTCCATCGGAAACCCGTGCATTCTGGTCTCTCGCCAAGTCTGTCCAAGGGAACTTCTGTCAGCCATCTCTCCCATATCTGCACAGGGAGGACGACTCACTGGCCTATGCCGCAAATTAGAAAGCCGATCTGCTAGGCTCTTTCTTTGCGTCCAACTCGACTCTTGATGACGGAGGGAACACGCCGCCGACCATCCCGCGGTGTGAGTACTTCATGCCGGATGTGCGGTTCACACAACGCTCAGTTCACAAAGCACTCCTCCCCTTGGACATCCATAAGTCGAGTGGGCCTGACGGAGTCCCCCCAATTGTGCTGAGGACGTGTGCTCCGGAGTTGGCACTGGTTCTATCGCGTCTTTTCCGGGACTCTTACTCCCTAGGCGTAGTCCCGAAATCATGGAATACGGCTGTAGAACTAAAATCCACAGTGTGCAGCAGAGGATGGCCATACGGATTGTGCGAGGATACCGCACGATTTCCTATGAGGCGGTGACAGTCTTGGCTGACTTTCCACCTCTGGACATACTGGCAGACGTCTATGCGAGGGTGTACGATCGGGCGCGTGTCCTCCGCCAGAGCCAGATGAGAGAGTGGGGCAGATGAGGGGTTCGAAGGAGTTAAGCGGCAGGAACGACTTAACACATTCACAACGTGGCGCGCTCGTCTCACTGATGAGCGTTATGAGCGCAAACGCGTTATTGAAGCAATTCTGCTGCACTTCGAAGCCTGGATGCATCGACAAACACGTAGACTCACCTACAGACTTACATAGATAATGATCGGGCACGGGTGCTTCTGTGATTATTTGTGTAAAATTGGACGCGAAGCGACGGCGAACTGTTTCCACTGCAGTGGGCACGACCAGAACTCCGCATCCCAAACGCTGGCAACATGTCCATCGTGGGAAAGGGAGCGGTTGTTTCTGGTAAGCCGGGTCAGAACCTCTGCCTGCCAGCAGTCGTGTCAGCTATGCTGTACAGAGACTCGGCGTGGAGGGCCCTAGCCGCATTCTGTGAATCCGTTATGGTCCATAAGGAGGCTGTTGAACAGTATCGGGAGAGGTCAGATCCCGCTCAGAGACGACGTCGCCAAGGCATTTGTCACGGCCCTCCCTTTGATGGTGTTCCCCTGCCAAAAACGGGATCTCGGATGTTAAGGGCGCTCGGGGCGAGTACCCTAGTAATGTAACCCCTGAGGAAGACAGTGACTCGGAAGTGGTCTCAAGCACCGTGATAGCACTGCGAGGGCACTGGGGGCAGTAAGGACATTTAAAGTACTGAAAGTGCCTCACGTGAATTGAGACAGCAGAATAATTCAGACAGTAGGCCTAGAAATATTATTGTTAATTTTTTTTATAGAATAAGGGTGACAAACGAGCACACAGTGTTTCGTAAACTATTTAGTAATCTGTGACACAGTCCACCTGATGGTAAGTTGTTACTGTGGCCCATAGACATCTACATCTATCCTCGATTACAAATCAAAATGCAGATGCGATGTCACCCGTGAGGGCTAAGATGGAATGCCTCGTTTCCAGTAAAAAGGGTCTCCGGTTCTCTACACTCACCATACGAAATACAGCAGTATTAAGCCGCTATTTGACGCTGGTATCCTGTAAGAGCGTGGTCCTTCTCCGGTCGAGCTGACCCATTCGTGATACAACTATACCAGAAATATAGCTGCAGCATGGCTTTACCACGTATAATTGCGTACGTATAATTAACGTACGGCAGTACCAACTTTACTTATCAAAGCATGAGGCTATAACTCTGCAGTTACTTAAATGGATTACTCGGCTTATTTTCACGTAGGTTCGTGGTAAAGCTAATTATTTACATTAGCAGTATAATTATGCTTGTCAAAATATTTCCTTATAACACAATTATTTAGTTACGTTAATTTGCCGTAAAAATAGCGCTAAAGAAAGTATATATGTAAAATATGTTGTTCTTTTTTACGTTTTTATTTTAAGGATAACATCAGATAGCATTGCTTATAATGTTTTCTTAAGAGGATATATGGTCGGCGTTTAGTCCATACAAATGTTCTGATCAGTTTTCTTTTCCTCCATTTCAGCAAATATTTTTTTACAATACAATCTATCTATCTAACTAGCAACATAAAATTACTAAAACTGGCCAGTTATATCGCTGTTATAGACACCTAGTAAACAAATTCAACGAACATAAAATACATATAAAAACACTTACAGATATAGTCACTACCTTTCTTAATATGTTCTTGAAAAAAAAATTAATTCGGTCTGGTTTTGGAGGAGGAAAATGGGTTCGTCAATTTTTGATAGATATAATTAGTTGTCTCTCTTGGTTGTCTAACCCGGTCGCTATGCGTCTATTGCGTGACGGCAATAGTTCAAGGAAAACGTTTCCTCTTACATTTATTATCAGTTAGTATAAGTAATAAGTATCTACAAATAGGTAACCACAAAGACACCTGTACATAATATTATTAGAAACTATTACACTTCTGATGTAAGAAATTATTCTCAAAATGATTTAAATAAAATAATGTCACTCGTATTAGAATTTACTCTGAAGGTTAATTGTTAAATATAATAAAAGTGTGACAGCGGATGTTCAACTTGCTCTCTTGCTTACGCAATTGATCATTATCAGAAATAAGACAGCGTACAGCACTATACATTCAGCATAGAGCAAATACAGTTCGACCAACCGTAATATGTACCAGACACAATCACACATTGGTGTAACGTGAAGGACATAATTACATGATAACACCAAAGTATGCAAAGCAACAGCTACACTACTTCTCTCGATGTAACACCGGGCAGCCTCTCAGCAACACGATCTTCCTTGCTTACACTAGAAGAACTACTACACGAATAGAACCGCATCACTTGTCTTATTTTGGCAGAATCTCAGTGTCTAAGTAGTGTTTTAGCCTAACGGGCATAATAACGATATGAGACTCGTAGAATTACAGACTGACTGATCCCTCTTAGTCGACTGCGTGATACTTTATACTGCTAAAACAAGTGGCATATTATAGTTCTACCTTCAACATTTCTTATTTTATTTTATTATTTTACCCTCATTCCTAACAATATATTTATGTGTATAAGGGGTATAATATAATAGGTGTAATGCTTAGGTACATCATTACATTTTTTTATAAAATTGGGTAACGAACGAACGCACAGTCCACCTGATGGTAAGTGAATACCAGCGTAAAATAGCAGTTTAACACTGCTATGTTTCGTATGATGAGTGTAGAGAACCGGAGACCCTTTTTACTGAAAAAGAGGCATTCCATCTTAGTCCTCACGGGTGACAACGCATCTGCATTGCGGCCACAGCAACCACTTACCATCAGGTGGACTGAGCGCTCGTTTGTCACCCGATCCTATAAAAAAAGTGGATGTTGTGGCCTAGAGATATCTACATTTATCTTCCCTTGAGGACTAGGTTGGAATGCCTCATTTCCAGTAGTAATGGTTTCCGGTTCTCTACACTCACCATATGAAATACAGCAGTATTAAGCTATTTTACGCTGGTATTCTAAATAATAATAATAATAATAATTCAATGAAAGTAATGATCTCTTCAATATATTTTAAAAACGTGTAATTTAAAGATGTATAATGCGAGAGGTGGGACCTGGTGGCCTATAGAACAGGTATTGTTAACTACCTTTCATAGGCACCAGTCTCTCTATAGTTCATAGCGGACAAACAATGTGACACGTAATTTTTATATATAAAAATATACTTATATATAATTCTATTATATTTAAAAATCAGACCTTAATATTATATTTTTGCCGCCAGATTGTCAATCGACCCATGGCGGCTATCATAATATCTACAACATCCTTGGCTGTGCTATCTCTGATCGGCGAAAGACCCTCAATACCTGAACTGGTTTCCTGGCTTGACATCGAGACGTTGCTCTTACTGTTCAGCATGATGTTACTGGTGGCTATAACGGCTGAGACGGGAATTTTTGATTTTCTTGCTGTTTTCACTTTTGAAGTAAGTATTTATATACCATTCAATGTGTTTAAAAATATTTAATTTTTAAATGTGTTGTGAAAGGGTTGGGGATGTTTTTTCCATTTAATGTGATAAGGATGACAAGCGAGCACACAGTCCACCTGCTGGTAAGTGGTTGCTGTGGCATAGACATCTACATCTATCTTCGTTTGCGAATTAAAATGCAGATGCGTTGTCAGCCGTGAGGACTAAGATAGAATGCATCTTTTTCAGTAAAAAGGGTCTCTGGTTCTCTGCACTCACCATACGAAATTTAGCATTAAACTGCTGTTTTATGCTGGTATTCTGTGGGAGCGTGCTCTTTCCCCGATAGAGCAAACTTTTGGCTGAATGCCATCTTGTCTACGCCAAAATAAATATTATTTTATAGATAACTAGCTGTGCCCCGCGGTTTCACCCGCGTCATCACGTATCGGAGGTGCGCGACGTGACCTAGTTCAAGCATTTTATAATTGCAATTAAATATTTTATTTGATAGCAATGGATGGAAAAATTGGCATAATTAATGGAGTACTTTTATCAGTTGGCATATTATGTATGATGTAGAGCGAAGTTAATTTTTATCCACTTTCCCTCCCCCTCCCGGTTGAGCAGTTCTCGCAGTTCTCACCGGGTTTATGTAGGGTTTATGTGTCGTTCGCGCGCCCAGCCAAGTATTGAGTTATTTTAATTTTACATTATCTCTTAAACTATGCGTCCAAATAACATGGTATAAAGAACAAAGTTTATCGTCATAAAATTGTCTTGATGATGAAGTAACTTTCGTTCGTAAGGATAAATAGGCCATGCCTAATAATAACGCTCATAAATCACTTTTAAATTTTCAATATTTTTTTGTCACATACATTACACAATACCTAATTATGGCTTATCTATAAGAAATAGACATATGGTATCGCGGACTTTTTTTAGATGGAGTAAAGATCTATATTTTTCTAGAACATTGTATTTACGTATCCCTAACGATAACACCAGCGTACGCGGATAAATCATTTCGGGAGTGCTTTTTCTTCTGACTTGCTTAACAAATATCCATATTTAAGGCTAGCTGAGTGATATAGCTTAATGCTAGATAGCCTATACTATTCCACATGAATCTGGCTATAATAGACAAAAAGAATTTTCAAATCGGACTGGCAGTTCCAGAGATTAGCGCGTTTAAACAAACAAAAAAACAAAAAAAATCTTCCGCTTTATTATATTATTTAAGTATAGATATGAAAATAGTTAATGGAGAGCCTCTGGTGTTTTTATTTTTAAATATTTACGGTTTTCATTATTTTCGTTGTTTTCAGGTGACTAGAGGCAAACTGTGGCCACTTATATCTTTATTGTGTGCGATCACAGGCCTGCTCTCGACCTTTCTCGACAACGTCACCACTGTGCTCCTGATGACTCCTGTTACGATCAGGTACACCTACAGCATTAATGTATTGACATACACATTATTACAGCATAATTAATTAATAAATGTGATTTTTTTAGAACAAAAAAACATTTTTTTTCAAATTCAGCAATCACTAAGTACGTGATGAAAACATATTGTAAAAAATCCGTTCTATAAGCTACATAGTACATTTATTATAACCTAATAACAATATTATCCATTTAGTCTAAAAAATGCTCTTTGCAATTTTCGTACAAATGTAAATTGTTTTATTTATTTTTAATTCCATCTTAATCTGCAGGTGTGGCACTACATCTGTATTTTAATTCGTTTATATAAGAGAATAATATTAGTTTATAGAATATATGGTGAAAAAGTTCACACAGTATACCTGGTGGTAATGAGCTTGGAATGAACGTGGTATGCTGTGGCTCATAGACACCTACATCTACCCCCAATTAATCAAAATGCAGATGCGTTATAAGTAAAAAGAGTCATATACCCAAACATCGATGGTCCAACTGGTCATTCCCCTGTTAAGTCTACCTATTTTTGTTGCAGTCAGTATAAGCTGTAGCATGGCTCTACCACGTTTACTATTACAATAAAAATATTTCGTAAAAATCCACAAGATTTTGTAAATATTATAACCGTAACGAATTGCTATATTTCATTATTTTATTTACTTTATAATACAATAAGTTTAGATTAAAGCCAACAATATTTTTAAATATTTTCTTTTTAATTTCTTAGGTTATGCGAGGTAATGAACTTGGATCCAATCCCCATCTTGATGTCAATGGTGGTATTTAGTAACATTGGTGGGACCTCCACGCCTGTCGGAGACCCACCTAATGTTATAATCGCATCTAATAAAGTTGTGGTTCAATCTGTAAGTAATTTAATAGGTACAAATGCTTTTTATTATTAATTATCAGTCTAAAATCGCTAGAATTTTTTTTGTGTGATGAAAATACTGAAAGACATGGTTATATAGAGGTGATAAATGGTCTTACCGTTAGTTTTATCGAAGTCGATTCAGGTCAATTTATCAAATGCTGAATTTTAATTGTTATTTTATTGGACCACTGTATCAATGTTTTTGGGATATTGATTATTTATTTTTTTATAAGACAGGGTGACAAACGATCACACAGTCCACCTGATGGTAAATGGTTGCTGTGACCCATAGACATCTACATCTATCCTCAATAAAGAATCAAAATGTAGATGCGTTCTCACCCGTGAGGACTAAGATGGAATGCCTCTTTTCCAGTAAAAAGAGTCTCCGGTTCTCTACACTCACCATACGAAATACAGCAGTTTAAAGCGGTTATTTTACGCTGGTATTCTGTGGAAGCATGGGTTGAAACTGATCTGAAATTTTTGACTTCTCATTGTTTTTTTCCTCAACTCACCACATGTTTAAGCCTCAAATTCGCGAAGCGTCACGCTAAGCTTGAATAAAATGTCTCATTTTCGTTATTACCCTTTGGGGGTGATTTTATTCTATTTTAAAATTAATAATCACCCAGCTGTGGCATATACAATGTAATAATTTAATTAAAGTCATTAATTTTTGGTACAGGGAATCAACTTTACCAATTTTACTCTGCACATGACTGTTGGGGTCCTATTGGTGTGCGTGCAAACTTACTTTCAGCTTCGCTATATTTACCGGGACACCAGTAAATTGAGATTGAGTGTACCTACAGATATACAAGGTACGTAAATAAATATATCATTATTATATCATCATCATCATTACAGCCTATTACAAATCTACTGCTGAACATAGGCCTTCCCTATTGATTACCTCATAGGGGTGATATTTGCAATAGTTGCCACGATTGGTGGGTGGGTTGGCAACCGCAGTTTTTATTATTTTGAACTATTAGGGCATCAGCATCTATCTCCTGTTTTATTTCCTTCATCGCTTCATACGCCACCCACGGGATGATATGAGATAATGGTTTCTCTATATGATATTAAGGAAAAATTTTCCTTAACAGTATAAAATTATTATTTTATTTTAGTATTGCATTAAGTGTCTTCTGTATTTATTTCAGAGCTACGTCACCAGATCTCGATTTGGCGGCGTGCGATAGAATCTCTTCCTCACTTGAGTAAAGACCAGCACGTTGTAAGAGAGAGACTTGAAAGGAAAGTTACAAAATTGAACACTAAGCTGATGGCATTAGAGAAACAGAGCACTAAGAGGGTGTTTCCTAAAGAGACCTTCCATAGTACTCTCATCGAATTAAAAGAGAAGGTAAAATTTTCGTCTATCTTAGAAACTTACTGCCACTTTAGGTTACTGTTTCCTTAGGCTATGTTAGTTAATCTGGAACATTCCATAAAGTTTACTTATTGTTCGAACACTTAACTTTTATTTTATTATTTTAAATTATGCATTTCCAGTACAAGATCCGTGACAAGGCGCTTCTTATCAAGGCTACAGTAGCGATCAGTTTTGTTGTTCTGGTCTTCTTCCTACACTCCATACCCGAGTTTAGTAAGTACTATCTGATATTTGTAGATATATGTTTCTTCTTCTTCTTTTTCTTCGTCAGCCTGTATACATATAATACAATGATTTTGAATTAATCATCACGCGTGGCAGGCAGATTGATCATCACAGTACCAGATGTGAGCACCTCTAATAATGCTATTCATCACCGGTCTGGGTGTTTTTTTTCCTATTTAAACGAGACGTTAATATCGCCTTCTATAACGGTAAGATTTTACTGGCGTTTCCCACAGTCTCATGTACTACACTCATAGAACTAAACGAGGGTGATAGGAATCACTGCCACTATGACCATACTATGTATATATATTCTCATCTCGACCTGATGCGATACTTGTGTAAGTAAATTAAATTAAAATGCATGTAGTTCAGTAAATTATTTGAAAGTATACTCTGTAATATCAGGAGAAAGAATGCACAGTTTTATAGACTACTATGCATGTACAGTACAGACAACACTGTGTCTGTGAATCCATGGGCCGCTGGTTCATATCCGGCTCGATAGACCACACGCTCACATTTTTTAGTAAATTGTAAATTAAATTGAAATGCAGGTGAAAATAAGGGCCTATATTATATTTAATTATTTAATGTACACGTATCAAAATCAGGAAAGAATCAATAGTTTCATAGCCTACAACACCATTGTTATACTCGTAGCTCGATCATTGTCATAGTAATAAATAAGTTATAACAAAAATAGTTTATGTCAACAATAATCTTATATTGAGTTAAAATTTTCTGAAACAATATTAGTACTTATCAATTGTATTTCCAGATCGCGTGTCATTAGGCTGGACAGCTCTACTTGGCGCGATACTGCTCCTAACGCTGGCGGATCGAGAAGATTTGGAGCCGATTTTGCATCGTGTTGAGTGGTCCACATTGCTGTTCTTCGCCTCGCTATTTGTATTGATGGAGGTCAGTAATTTTTGTTGCTCCAAACAAAATTTAAATAAATTAGCTGCTAATGATATTAGCTAACATTACGATGGCGGCTTAATTTAATTTTACGATTTGTTTATTTCTTAGTTAAATAAAATTCAAATTTTATATGTACAGATATCGTTGTATAAAGATTGTAATAATTGTCATTCAAATAGTTCACACAGGCACTTGCCAAAATAGCATTAATCGTTCAAAAAATATATTGTTTTACACATTTTGAAATAAATAAAGACTATGGAAGACTTTTGCGTATTTTATATCTTTTAGTTATATCCAAAGAAAAAGTTGTGCCATAGCATTTTAGCCCGTACATTTTAAGACTGAATTGTAACATTACATTCTCATATTTCATTGCAGGCTTTGTCCAAACTGGGCCTTATCGAATTTATCGGTGGCATCACAGAAGACCTTATTTTGAAAGTGAACGAGAACGCTAGGCTGGCTGTCGCTATTTTGCTCATCTTATGGGTATGTGTTAATCTTTTGAGATAGAATTTTGCCTGTATTGTAAGGTTGGCTGGCAGAGAATGCATGCAATTAAGTTCGCCTTTTGTTCCTATACATTGGGAAAGGTTCAATATAAATAATAAATAAACCTGGCTAATTACCAATATTTAAAAATGTGAAAAAAAATTGAAACGAAAATAGTATTATGTATATATATATTTAAATTAAAATTTTCGGACATCAAGAATGAGTGTGCACTCAGCCGCCCGCTCGACTTGCCTCGGGGTATGGGCTGGGCTAATAACCAGTGCTATCAATGACTCCGGTCCTTTTCGAAGTTTTTTGCTGCAGCACACGGTTTTATTTTAATTTATAATGTTTGTCAATTATATTTTAATGAAACTAATTTTTAACGCATTTTTGCGCGTTTAATTTAACTTTTTAATTCCCGACGTTTCGGGTGCTTTACAGCACCCATGATCACAAGGGGGACAGGGCAGTTATAATATTAACCTATTTGAATGACATTGAGGTAGTGATATTGTAGCTAAGATATCGAAAGAATAAAGCTCCAACTCCAGAGGCTATCAAATTATGTGGATATAATTTTATATATTTTTTGAAATCGGTATTTATTTAAAAAGAAAATAATTATTATAATTTCATTGTAATTTTTCGCCCTATGAAAGCCTCAATACTTTCATCGGTATGGTGCGATATCGATGAATAAACAAATTAGATGGGTACATTTTATTCGTAAGATTCACTGAAAATGAAAGGCAAACATGAACCGTGTTACATCGCATTTAAGATTCCCGTCACTTAAATCTCAAAATATCATTATTGAAGGCTATTATATGATTAAATTGTTTGATACGTTAATATATTTCAAGATAATCTATTATCATAAACGATCCTACGATATTTTATCGCAATAAAAGTCCAAGATACCACAGCGAAATTAATACACTGTTTTTAATGAAGATACAATAAAATTTTGCCGGCTAGCCTTAAAAAAAATATGGCTGCATGTATTTTTATTGAAAATTCAATTAATAAATTTTTAGGCACAATTTTGTTAATTTATTTCTACAAAAAATATCAATAGTATAAAAGAAAATTATATAAATTACTAAAAATGAATAACTTAACCTTTAGGCACGAAGGTGTGGTGAACACTGAACAGGCATTCTCTGTTAAAATAAGTAATAAATTTCGTTCATAACGTATTTAAATGAATCATAGTTATAGAAACTATTTTAAAAGACTTTATTTATTTAATAAATTAATAAAATGAAACTGACCAACAAACTAACAGTCTAACTGATGGTAACTGGCCACAGCAGCTCATTGACACTAGCGCCCATCTTCAAAAGAAGGCTGCAGATGCGTTGTCGTCTCTGAGATCTCAGATGATTTTTTTATGGAATGGTACAATCGAGCACACAGTCCACCTGATGGTAAGTGGATGCTGAGGCCCATAGACATCTACATACCTTAATTCTAATACTAATATTTATATATTTTATACATTACACGTATTATTGTAGTATTTAGTGAACGTTTTATTAATTAGTATTAATAAAACTAATAAGAAATTTACGTTTTATTAATTAGTATTATAAAATCTAATAAGTATTAGTAATAATATGTTTTACATAATATTCATCTAATTTATAGTACTACATTTCTTAATCAAAAAGCTATTTAATGCTATCATAAATTTCTTATATTCTTCCATCTCTCTCATATCTTTGGGTAATGTATTATATAATTTAATTGCCATGGAATATGACCCAGAACTGTATAAAGATAAAGTGGTTTTTGGTAATATTAATTTATTTCTCTGCCTAAGTTTTATATTATGTCTATTTATACTATTATCACCAGCTTTTTGAAATATATCTATATATTTTCTTACTAATTTACATGATTCTAATATGTGTAAGAAGGTATTACGGTGATACCTACCCAGATCGATTCCTAGAATATAGTAGGCGCCTTGCTTAGTATATATCCGTTACATCAACATTGATCCATGAATTGCATCTCATTTTGTATATATCCGTATAGGTGTCAGGACTGACATCGGCGTTTGTAGACAACATACCGTTGACAACGATGATGGTGCGCGTGGTGACCACTCTGGGCTCTAATCTGCAGCTGGGTCTTCCCATGGCGCCTTTGATTTGGGCTCTGTCATTTGGGGCCTGTTTGGGAGGTAAGCCAATTTATTTTACATGTATGCGTTATAAAAAAAATATCAATCATTCCATTAGCTGGGCCTATATCACTGCCCATTCTTTTACTATCTTCTAGACTAGATAGAGAGCAGAGAAGTGTCGCTAATCTGTTATGGTGCCTAGCAACGGCTGTTGGACCTATAGTTTAGTTTTATTCAGTATGTAGTATTCGGGGAGATGTAAAAAAAACATTGTAACCTACTAAGGGAGAGACCTATGTCCAGCATCGGACCTACAAAAAGAAGTGATTCCAATATAAAAAACATGGCTGCTAACGTGAATGCACTAGACTATACTAAAATAGTAGCTTAATGGTGCTGTGTTCGTATCGTGAGTGTAGAGAACCGGAGACCCTTTTTATTGGAAAAGAGGCATTCCATCTTAGTACGCAGGGGCGACAAACGCACAGCATTTTGTTTCCTAATCAAAAGAAAGTTTAAATGTAAATTTTATTTTACTAGAGCTAGCTAGGCCCAGCTGTGGAACTTTAGATTGCTACTTTAAGTTTTCCTTTTTGATTTTAGAAGCAATTTAATAACTTTTTACACCTCTAGGCAACGGCACACTGATCGGCGCGAGTGCAAACGTGGTGTGCGCCGGCGTGGCCGAGCAGCACGGCTACCGCTTCACCTTCCTGCAATTCTTCCGCGTCGGCTTCCCCGTCATGATCGGCCACCTCTTCGTCTCCTCCCTCTACCTCCTCCTCTGCCACTGCGTCTTCACCTGGCACTGAAACCATTCATCGACGCGGCTGAGCAGCACGGTTCCGCATCATCTTCCAGTACTTCCTTAGCGTCAGCGTCTCCAACATGAACGGCCACCTCATCATTGCCTTTCTACCTCCTTATCTGCCACTGTGTCTTCGCCTAGCATTAAAGGAATTTACTGCTTTCCTCTAAATTGAATAAATGCTGTGTTAAATTAAAGTTTAAAAATAAAAATAACCATAGCCGTTAAGTCATAAAAAAAAGAAATACTGTTTTATATTTCCATCATTCTAAAATCTTTGTCTTCCAATACCAGCAATTTTTTTTTAAATTGAATAAAACTACTTTTACGGCGTTTATCGCGTGTGTTGAGCAATAAATTTTCTTTTCAATTGATAAAATTCTTTTTACGGATTTGATTTCATACATATTCATACAATTTATTCGTTTTGAATGCTTTGGAGCAACCATAGAGCTTGCTTTGTAGTAAACATTTCCTCCTCATAAATTAGTTTTATTCAATTTGTAGTGTTCGCGAAAATATATGGAAGCATTATTTTTTGAGACCTGTTGTAGACATACGTCTAAAATGAAATGACCCCCTGACCCTGACCAATACTGGTCAGGATGTCATTTCCCCCATGGTATAAATTAGTTTTATTAAATATGTAGTGTTCGTGTAAATATAAGTGAGCATTACCATTGTTTAGAGACCTGTTGTAGGTAGTTGTATTTATTACGCATGATTGCTATAACACCACATCGATATCATCTTATACTATGATAGGTACTTGAAAAGTATAGATATGTTATTTGTAGTCTCGTAATTGTAAAACAAAAGAACGTGATAATTAGCAAAGTTGGACTTTAAAATAACGCAAATTATTTTCTTTCATAGTTTCTTATGGATGTTTTATCCCACATAAACAATTTGTGTGTGTATGTCGTTGGACTATGAAACGATTAACGAAAAGATAAATTCGATTTTCGAATTTATCTATACTTTTTTAATATCATTGATCTTTTGTGATTGTGTAGATTGTATATAGTTGTATTAAAGTTATAGTTTTTATTATGAGTACAGAATAGAAAAATGGGTGTAGATGTGTTTTGTTCCGTCCACACTATCAACTTCTCATTTGGTAATTAACTGTAAGTTCGATTTTCAATGAAAAAAAAAAAACTGAAGAATCGATTTTAATGAAAGTTAACTTCAAGACAATATCATAATTCCTTCTCGGGATATGCGAGTCGAAAATCGTTCACGCATCTGTGTTCGATACATTGAAATCCTTTTAACAACAGGAGAATTACAATTACCAAATGGAAAGTCAAAATTGTGTTGAATGTGAAACTGTGATAATTTTCTTATTTGGATACTTAATTCGTTTGGAATGGTAATTGTCAAAAGAAATGCAAAAATATTAGCGATTTATATTATTATTGTGTTTTCTATTATCTGCTTTGAAACGTAGTTATACGTTTCGAAGCAGATAATATAAAGTAGTATAATAAGTCTGTTTTCTTCAACCGACTTCAAAAAGAAGGAGAGGTTTACAAGTCGTCGGGATCTTTTTTTTGTGTGTGTAGACCGATTACTCGAAGACGCCTGAACCGATTTGGAAAATTCTTTTTTTGTTACAAAGCGTATACTTTCCAAGTAGTCTCATTTAAATTTTATCGAAATCGGTCGTGCGGTTTAAAAAAAATCATCAATAAATTATATTTATATTGAAGTCGGTTGTACGAAAATTTTAATTATACCACTTGTTATTACAATTTAGTATTTCCCTGCTTGAAGTTAGTTGCAGGAGTACATAGGCTGCAATAACCCCTTAGCACCAGATGGATTTAAAACTCGTTTGTCACTCTAATGTTACATAATGTCTCTAAAAAAGTTTCAGTTAAAGTCAGAGAATGAAATATGCTTCGTACTCTAGTTTCGTAGAATGAAAGAAACTTATGGCCAGCAGTAAATTTACAGACTAAATTAAAGTAAAAAAGTCTCTGTTTAGTTGAATGCATTTCCTGGTAGACAATTACTATTTCCGTGTTACGTTTATAAGTTAGATCATAGAAACAGTATTCGATGTAAGTTTAAAATATACATTAAGTTATAAATATAAATGGCTATTTTATGTCTTGAAATTGTTTTTATATAATTTATTCGAACAAATTGTGTCCGGGCTTCATTTGTTTGCTGTTTTATTTTTTAACAGAGAGTACTTGCTTGTACTATGTGAGTAAGATAAAGAATGAGTATGATACTTTATCAAAGGGATAAGACGTATGAATGTAATTGGTTTTATTGACAGCTTCACCCTAAACGTCAGAATCCCCACCAACCACTCGACGCCGTCATGACATGTCGCTGTAATATTATTATTATTACAATTATTTCATCAAAAATACAACAAAATTGAAATAAAAACAAATGATTGTTAAAAGTATTTTCAGTTAATCTTTTGTATATTCTACACAACGCACATGAAGTTAGTGCGCAATGCAACGCTAAGGGTCAGTTTGATTAATATCGTCTGCGCTTAATATTGTGTAATTGCTTTATGATTTTTGATATATGAAACATTACTCTGTGTCTTTACACATTTGTGATTAACACCTTAGTTATTATAATCGTTGACTATAGCTTTATTCAAATAAGTATTAATTATATCTAGACCTGTCTCTTTCTATTGTCATATATTGAAAAGAGAAAGAGAGCAACTTTTCTTTTAATTACATAAAAGATAAATATAAAATTCGAAACCCGCCTAACAATTCGTCATTGACGCCGCAAAGGGGTGAACCTTAATTTTTCAAAAAATACAGAAGAGCAAGAAAACATTTATTCTTCTCCGATTACTAGCTTTTTTCATCAGAAAATTAAATATATTAGACTTAATGGAAAACTACAAATAAGACTTTACAATATAAATCGCGTCTGTGGTATCTTATATCAGTGGAATTATTGGCTCAACGATCTTAACTAATTAACATTATGAAGCAATATTTTTAACACATAGATTAGACGTAGGTTAGTGAAAGTAAGATGATTGCCAGATGATCGGTTTTTTTTATTTTTTTTTATTTTATAAAACGTTACCCCCACACTAGGATTTTCTCCTGTATCGCGGAGGCAGTTTACAAACACAAATTGCACAAGGACAAACATCCAGACCCGGAACAATTATTTGTAGACCGTACAAATACTTGTTCCGTGCGGGATTCGAACCCGCGGCCCCAAGCGTTGCAACTTGCAACTCATTGCTAAGCCACTACGCCACGGAGCCGTCTCCACGGTTTAAGAACGACTTGTATTTGGTTGTCATGTCCGTCCAAAAATCTTCTATATTGACCTGTAGCTTTAATATGCTTTTCCTTAATGATGTAACTGTAAACAATTATGTAGCCTAAAAAAACAAATCTAGTTAAAATGTGCCAAATCCCTGCTTATTAGCATACAGAAAAATATGTAACGTGGCAATAATTTCGAATAAACGATTACGCAAAAGGAACCGGGCTTGACAATTGCAACCCTTTTTAACTTAAAACAGGGATATCAGGGTTAAACATCCGGATAAATTATAACAACGTCGCGATCAGGGTTTTCTATTTGTCGGAGCTGGCAACCCTATCTGCGGTTGGCTGTACACTATATATTTGTGACATTAATATTTCTGTGTGCACTCAACTAATATCATACGGAGGTTGGTATGGTGGAAATCGGTCATGATAACAATTTACGTTCATCGTCATCATTATAATATTGGGCACGGATGATAACGTCCGGTATTTAACTGCAAGATTGCTATTGTTGATAAAGCAAGGAAGATATCATTTTATCTTAATTTGTAAAAACATACATTTCACATTCCATTTGATGAAACATTTTCCTCAATTGAGTTTCAACATTAATTCAGTAGCTATATGAAAAATTTGAGACATTTATTATATGTTTGTTAATTATTGCTGTGTAAGAGTTATAAATCACAAATAATTATGAATCATGTTTGTAATAAAGATGATATAAAAAATCTTTTCATTCCTTGTTTTGATGAATTCGTTTTCTTATTGCATTGATTTATCTATACAAATAAATGAAATTGAAGTTTCTGTAAGTAATGTCAAAACAACAGCTTTTTACTAAATGCATATGAAAGTATATACGACACTTATAATAAAAAAAAACATTTTTTTATATTATTGCCTCTCTGCCTTTTTGTTCCGGATAATCTCCAAAACGGCTGAACCTATTTTCACGGGACTTTCACTGGTAGATAGATAGCTAATGTTATAAGGACTAACTTAGGCCACTTTTCTTTAAAAGAAGAATTAGGGTTCCGTGAAATAAAATTTTAATTCATAAAATTTTAAACAAAATCCCTTTCAAATAGGGACGTATAACAATAAATTACCTACTAAAAATTATTCTATGCGAAGGAAGTCGCGGGCACAGCTAGTTTGTTTATATACCTGGGCTATACTGAAAGTTTTGCGTAATTAATAAATAACATAATTTATATTTAAAATAATATATTCACTGCTTTTCAAAATATTCTCCATTATATTTTAAATATTCCTCATTCGTTTAAACGTATGTTTTTTACGTGCTGGTTGAAAGCTACCGCGGCCTCTTCTTGATCCATAAATGTCAAACCTCTCATCAAATCTTTGATTTTTAGGAAAATAAAAAAACCCCATGGTCTGACTGAGATCCGGACTATGTGCGGTGTGGGTCACGAGCTCCACCTTTTCAGAAGCCAAAAATTACTTTGTCTTGTTCGCGGTGTGCGCCTAAGCATTCTCATAATGAAATAGTATGCAAACTTTTAAAACTTTTTTCCGTATTTCTGTCAAAGACACCGGGCAAAGAAATGATGATGTACTACTCTCAGCATTAATTGTGTTTTACTTATCGAGGATTGTGAAGACGCCTGGTGAATTTAATCATAGAGAAAAACACGGTCACGATCTAATTAACGCAACAACGCCTTACGGTGCTCAAATGAGGTGCTTGCCTCCCAAA